TCTCTCTCTCTCTCTCTCTCTCTCTCTCTCTCTCTCTCTCTCTCTCTATTTTGCTTTCTTTCTCTAGCTCGCTTGCTCACTTTCATCTCTCCAAACACCAGATTCGAATGACGTTCAAAAGGTTTTTGTGTTGGTGAAAAATTGCCAAATTGTGGCATGAGAAATTTGAAAGTATCAGATCAAAGATACCAACATAAAGCGAAAATTCGAATTCGTAAAATTCCTTGGACAATTTTCCATGGTAACATAGTTTTATCAGATCCTACACATCTCTGTATGCGTTTTTATCCAACACTTGAGTTCGGAAAAGGGTTCGACTTTTTTTGTCTTTTTGCTCTCTGTTGTATTTAAATGTACTTTTACATTCCAAAAAGTTTCGAAACTTTATTTTTCAAAAAAAAAAGAAGAAAATGATACAAAAGCACAGACATGGGAATCTCGTTGTTATAGCCCCGAGCGGCTAAATTAAAAGCAATATGTGGTTGTTTCACATTAAACAAATGCATGGGTGTAATCAAGGATATCATATCCATAGCAATGAGCAATTTCTTCTTCCTCTTCATCGTCATCGTCACTTCGAATCTATTGGAAAAAGTTGCTAGATGAGAATCAAGATTGTGTTCAGTTTAAACTAGCAATCTCGACTTATGTGATGTGAATATTATATAGGCAGTTATACAAACGAAATCTCACACACTCCAAATTGTGTATGTATTCAGAGCGTTGATTTTCTCAAAATTTCATGCATCGAAATCTAATTCGGTTGCGTTTATGGAAATGATATTTACAAAGAGACAGAAATGGCCGGATGAAAAAGAGAGGAAGAGACGGCATAAAGGATGGGAAATCGATGCAGTGCAGTGCCTGTAGGAAACCTGAGTCAGTGCAAATGTGAAACGAAATGTAGTGCTTCTGCATACTGTTATCATTTCCAAAAAGCAATACCCCATTTCCATCATTATCGCAGCGATCAATAGCAAAATCCCTTTAAAATTCCACCTTTCATGTCACCCACCGGGCGCGCGTATATTCGGATTCATTCAGGAAAATGATATGATTTGTATTTGCAATGAAATTGTATGTTCGATGTTTTCGTTTACTTGTAGCACAAATGACTGTATGCGCTCTAACATTCAATTGCCATTTTTGTTTTGTGCTCTCGTACTGATTCGCATTCACACCGTATGTATGTGATTACAATTTCCATTCGTGTTTTCTATCTGTTTCAATTTGAACAACCATATCACGTGCAATGATTCTTTGAAATTTGTAAACATTATCGCGCGAACTCGTTCTCATGCACGTCGGAATTCAGACGCAAATCTTCAAACGGAAAAGACCAAAGATATGAATTAGACGAGAATTCAAGTACAATTTCGCATGAATTCCGTTAAACTGTGCATTGACGATGCACAGTGGAGAAGTTTACGCTTCTTTAAAAAAACGAAGTATTTTCAACATTGTTCGCTGTGAATTTGGCCTGAATTCCAGAATCAACGTGAGAAAGCTTATCCATGTACGTTCGGCCATCGAAAATGCTTTTTAGAAACATTTTTACATTTTCAAGTAGTTTTCAAGCAGCAAATGTGTGCGTACACTATGCACCAACCAAGATCAAAGTGGTTTTGATCGAACAAAACCAGTATGTGCCTTTCTCTCTCTCTCTTTACATAAATCTAGTGTAAATGATCCACTGATCCAGCTAGAATCCACCATCCATTACAATTCGAGTGTTCAGTGGAACTTTTTTCGAACCAAATACATGAAAGAGAATGAGTGCACGGTTAGTCATCGCCAGTTTTATATACCGATTGTCGTTTGTGGGTAAGAGCTCCGTCTTTTCTCTGTGAATTATGTGCTTTTTGTGAGTGTCGATTTTTAAATTGAACACGACATAGGCGGTTGTTTCATGAGTCGAAGTGCATAACTTCGTTTGCACTATTTAACGCTATACTCAATGTTTCCATTATAACTTGTGCACTACCGCTCGTACACTCTCTTTCTATTCCCCTGAACTAGCTAGCCGAGTGCATATTTTGCCAGTAATTTTTTTTCGCACAATTTTTCGAAGCCGTTTTATATTTCTTTTTTGCATGTTTATTTTATCTTTGGAGAATCACACGGTAGAGTAGTACATTTGGCAAGCGCTTACCGAAAATGAATATGCACACCGCAACCGTGCATTTGGTGGAAACAAAACTCAACCTATAAAACAAAAGTAATATATACGTGTGTGGCATTTTTTAACGCCGTATTTCGTGTGTCGATTGTTCGCTTTTATGGACTCTACGCTTCCGTGTTCACATTTCAAAATTGTGATTTTGTTTCAGTTTCTATTTCGATTTTCAGCTTTCACACAAGAAACAAGACAAAAAAAAATTGGCATAAAAGATAAAAAGTTGAGGCAGTAAAAACCGTATTGTAGCTTTTGTTCAAAGAGAGAAATCCGCGCACAAATCCATTGATAAATACAACTCGAATAATGTATATATATATGTGTATGAAATTCAAATTCATCGAAGCATGGCATTGCAAATACTGCGTGCACCGACAACAACAACAAATTTAATGAGATTTTTTGATTCGGATTTTTGAAAATCGCTTTAGCAACATCCTGCTGTGTGCTGCATCAATCGTTCGAATGGTACTATTTTCTAGGTTTGTTAAGCTTATGCACTCACCCGATTTTATCCAACTCACGCTACGCCAATAACAATATACAGTTCAGAGGTTTTTTGTCACAGATAAAAATATATGAGTTATGTTTTTTCGTCAAATACTATCAGTAGAAATGCTTGATTAAAAGCACATATACACACAGCGTGATAAGACCTAAATGAAATGCAGTTTGCACATGTTGTAGCAAATGTTTTTTAACTCAACGAAATCAAGTTGTTTTTTCTCTCAACTCCTTTAATCGGTTTTAATATTTTATGGACTTAGTATCTGAAAAAGCATAAAAGTCTGATTATGTCGACAGATTTAACTTGAGATATAAAATGGGAGACATCGAGTGAATGAAGTGGGTAAAGACACCGAGTGAATAATCTTTAATCTAGTCAATCTACAGAAGCGCTTCTTATTTGATAATCCCTAATTGTATTGTGTATACACGAATGTGAACAGTCTGTGATGTCAACATAGTCGTTGTCGTACGTAAGAATGGTCTGTTTTAAAAAAATACTTTTGTCAATATTAACAAGTCATGTTGTTCATTAATTCATAATGTTATGTACATTGTGCAAATAGCATTTGTTAGCTATTTCATTTGCGAGCGAATTAACTTTACTCCAGAAAATGAAAGAGAAGAAAAAAATCATAAAGTAAATAAATTTTGAATGAAAAAGGATACATTCGTAGTGATCCAGATTTGTCGCCTATAGCTAATAGTTTTTGAACTGGGTCATATCCTAGTGCGGTTGGTGAATGCGGAAAACCATGACGAAAAGTCTGCAGGAAAAAAAGAGAGAAATTAAGGGTAAAAAAAGTTATTTAAAATTTTTACTCTAACTATTAAAATGTAAACAATTTTATTTATAAAACAATTATTCGCAATTTTTCATTGTGGCAGTTGACGATGAAGGCAGGGGATTTATTGTAATTAACCGAACGCAATTTTTATTTTTTATTTCGTTCATTTCAACTTTTATGTCATGGATGTGTGTGAGTGTGAGAGTGCATGCCGAACACAATATAGCAAATGGATTGCGGCGAAATGTGAAAAAGTCACCAAACACTTGGATTGTGACTCAAACATTATTGTTTGTAAATCGAATTAATTTCCATTCAATCAACAATATAGAGTAACGTTGAGCCTTCTGCAATTTATATTTTATACGTTTAAAGTGATGTGTTTGTATGTAATTCAATCAATGCAAAAAAATTCCACATTTCAAACGAATGGCCGTATGTGCGCAAAAAAAGCCAGCATATACAAATACCTGAATGCAAATATAAATGAGTAAAGCCGAGGGTGTATGATGTATAAAACGATATGGATATAGGATGTTTGTAATTTTTTTTTTTTGTTATTTATTTATTTTCGATGTCATGTAATTAAAATTGGAATTTAATAAAACGAATAATAACTGCTTATTTTTATTTGTTGCGACAGCAACCACACTCATACACAGAGGAAATGCCTGTTTATGTCGGCTGCCAATCAATTTTGATTTCTCAATTTATCGAAATCGAGCGAATAGCAAACGAAATTTACTTTGATGATGCGTTGCTTTGAATACTTTATATACTTTATGTATTCGTTAAATTGAATATGAAGTCACTTTTTTGACACACGAAATGCACAAAGCTTCACTGGAATTTCATTTGCGAAGCATATCGATACATTGTATATATACCGTATTCATAATTCGTATTGCTCTCCGACATCATCCATTTCATCGACATATTTTTGTTTGCCAAAATTTCCTATAACACACACACATTTCGCTTCAAATAGCTCGAATGCAAAATATTCGAATGCTTTATCGTGAATGGTATGCATGAATGGTAAATTCTATATATGGTAAAATTGAAGTAAAAAAACACGAAAGAACCGAATCAGAAAATTGGTTTGATGTGTGTATATATGTAATAATTTTGCGTTGGTTGTTACGAGAGGTTGTGCTGAATGTTAGGATGCATATCCCGAAAATATGAATGAAGAATGAGCCGAACTCAAGCGATATGATAAAAAGTGCGCACACATGCTCAATGTTAAAGAAGCTCTGGCAGACATGTTCACTTATTGGTTGCGTGAAAACCCGAGTAAGTGAATGTATACAAAACATAAATTGAACCGAAAAACAACCAATAATTCGCATGCATGTAACAATTTTTTTTCTTCTTTCAATTCGAAGCGAACAACGACAACCGATGAAATCGATAAGAAATTTTTCAATTTGCCATTCTGATTCACTTACGAATTGGAATTTTTCGAATCAAATTGGAAAAAATAAGAAACAACACACACATATATGAATTACTACGTTTTCGAAGCATATTTTCACGAAATAGCCAAATTCATGGATAAAAACCAACGATTGAAATTCCAGTTTATGTGGTATATCGGGATGAAAAGAAGAAAAAAATTGCTGCAATTATTTTATCGAATTTTATAGAAATTTATACGAAAAGGTAGGAGGGGGCATGCATGGAACATTTTTGTAAAACTAATTAATGAATATTTCGAAAATCGAAAATATTTTTGCGAACAACGTTCCAATTTTTCGTACCATAGAAACAGTAAGTGCTTTTTACTTTCCACAAACGTTTTGTATAACGAATGCGAGGTACTCGAGTGTGTGTTTTTTGTGTATTTCATTTCATTCCCGAACTTGGCAACACGACAACAACATATCGCTTGTGAAAACAGTGCTTTCCGGTATTCAATGTGGCATCGATATATCACTGGGCCATTTTACGCTATTAGTAATGCTTAAGCGATTCAATCTGACTGTAAAATACGATGGATGCGTGCATTGAATAACGCATTTATCGAATCAAGCGCACATAAATAAAGAACACTCTAAATATACATATTTATGGATGTTTAATGTTTTGAAAGTGCCGGCCATCGACAAATTATTGCGTATACTAAAAATAAACGGGCAGATTTTTTCCATCTCGAGAGATGGTCGTTTCTTTTCCATTCACTTCCAATTCATACGGCAATAAAACTTGACATCCTCAGCGTAAAACGTAAACGGAGTGATGGTTTGATTTGCTTTTTTTTTTCAAGTGAAGTGGACCCTTTTTTGTGGGTTAAAAACATACAAAATGGTATCATAGATGGAAATTTTCAACTTGGGAAATGGAAGCACATAATTTCAATTCGTTATGTATAAACATTTCAAAACCACTTATGCTTTTCATTTTGATATAGTCAGATTGAACTGAGGTTGAAATGGCTGAGCAGAAGAAAAAAATTATACAAAATGCCTTCGAAATTGTTTATAAATTGCAAATCCAATTCAATATATGAGCGTAAATCGATTTGAACAAAATTGCAAATTAATTTCCCAAAATGTCTATAAAATTGCAATCAACGAAGATACTTGTTCGTGTGGGGCATTGTGCGCGGGCGGGCGGTAGTGTATTGGTGACTTCATCAAAATCAACTTTAAGTTTGAATGCAATAACATATTCATCACATTCTTTCACCTAAACTGATGAAAGCCACGAAAGCCACATTGATCCCACAGCGCTTTTGTCGGACTTAAACTAAAATTGAAATGTTTTGCATGCACGAAGCAATACAATGACATGACCACCACAAATAGCTATGTAGACTGGCATGCATGGTGGTTTTGCATTGTTCCTATATCAAATATGTATATTGCGATGAAGAAACCCATGGCATTTTTTTTTTCACTTGCATTTTCCGAAGGAAAACTATTTCAGGTATATTAATTGATAAACGAACAAGCGAAACAGTACGCTTGTTACTAATTTCAAATGAATTTATTCATACATTATGAGGAATTTTCAAGTGTGTATTCAAATGAAATGTTATCGCTCTCACATCAATTCCAAAACCTAGCAATTATGGTACTAAAATAAATTCCCATATTTGCTAAAAGAATTTATAGTCTTATTGATAACACACTTGAAATTCTGCTTTACGGGAAAAAAATGAAGCCAATTCATACGAAAATATGTATAATGCTTTGCAAATAGATTCAAATTTTTTCTCTCTCCCTATTTATTATTCAGGAATGCCGAATATCCTGATTGTGAGTTATTCGAGGAATATATTTTCAGGCATTCGGCGTAAATTGCTATTGTCTGTAAATATTAATGAAATGCCGCTTGAGATTTGTGTACGTGTTCGGTTCAATCATGGCTGGCCAAGTTCATTACTAGCTCATTCGATGGCTTTATTGATTTCATTGTTTTGACATGAATAAATGAATAGAATACATTTTTTCGCCGACAGAGCTGTGTAATTTTTCAATTACATCATACATTGTGTGAGAATATACGAAAGTATGGTTAAAATTGTTGCAGGTGTACCATTGCATTGATATTATTAACTGAATGAATTGTTTTAACATATTTAATCTATCACGCACGGAATGCTGCGCTATTTAAAGCGCTTTGTGATAATGTTTCGTTTTACTTTGTTGCATATGCATAACGTTATATGTGTTGAAGTCTTTTTTTTTTTTGCGCCATCATTATCAGTGTGAGTATGCATGTAAATTTGCCTGAAATTATTTTATCTCATTTTTTGCATGGTATTCGGGTGTATGATAAAATATTCAAAAAATGCTTCAGAATAGATGTAAATTCCTGACAGACAAAAATAACGTGAAAGATGGAATGAGAAGCAGAGAAAAAAAACGGCATTTTTAAATTCGATACATATATCAAATTGTTTGACAACATTTTCTACCCGAACAAAGTGAGGAAGAAACAATGTTCATTATAAACTATGCGTGGCGTGGTGTGGATGTGAGAGTTGGATTTTATGCATGTGAATGGTTTTCCACTTAAACGCACCACGTACACATTAAATAACAAAGAACACGAAGCGTTAAATATATATATAGTGAAACGTTCTAGTACATGGTGGATTCTTTTTTTTTATTGTAGTTGCCGTAGCTACCACTAATGCAATCCAATGTTTAGCATGATGAAGTCAGTAGCAAACTTATTTTCCATACCATTTCAACCACGATAAACTTTGCAATTTTATACAATGTGCACTTTGTTTGCTAGTGATGTTACTGGTTTTGATGATTAACAAAAAAAAGTGGCAGCAACAGCAGCAGCAGCACATAAAATAACAGCAATAATTACAATTCAATTGAATAGTGAGCGTTCATTTTGTAGATGATTTTGTTTTATGAACGATTGTTGGCAACATGAGCATGCTGTGATATTAAATCTGCATGCTTCACTTCCAAACCACATCAACTGACGTATTAATAACCATTCCATTTACTATATCTGCCACATGATCAATTTTCCAAATAGTTTGGCAATTGAGACTGTGATGGTGGGTGGGCGTTTGTGAAAGTTTTGATATTTCACAGTCTTTTTTTGCAAATAATCATTGGCAACGTTGCTCTCTTGGGAAAAGTTGAGCGAGAGACCAAGTGAGATTTTATTTCAACGAATCGTTACATCACTTACCTATATGAGCGATGAGCGGTAATCAAGCAGCAACATGAAAAGTAAATAGAGAATAATTTTAGTTAGTATTTTTTTTTTTGTGTGAGTCATGGCAAAGTTTTATTATATTATTTAATAAAATACCGAAGATTGTTTGAGAAAGAGTATGTACATGTGTGCGTTATAATAATATCACATTTCCAATTCACTGACGCACTGTTTTTTGTTCTCTATTCTTTGTGCACACACACACCTGACTGCAGTCAGGTAAAATAGCACAAAATTCATCGAAAAATACTTTTGACTTTCAAATGACCATATCATAAGTTTCT